AAATAAGGTTGCACTTTAAACAAATTTAAAATAATCTAATCAGTTCTAGGGAAACAGTTCTAAGTTCTAATCAATTTTTAGTTTTACTCTTAGTCTAACCAAATCTCAGGGAGAAAACTCCCACAATTGTGACCTAGGAAAGTTATGGGGCTCCAAGCTAGTTTAAAAAGATGAATTAACTAAAAATTTAAAAATCAGAATAATCACAGATTAACATTTGAAATAAAACCTAATATATATTAATTCTTGCGATCATTTAGTTTGAAGGTGAAGTATTCAGAAACCATATGTTAAAAATGTGACATATGGAAAGGTCATTAATCCCAGAGGTTAAGATGCCCACTTGCACATCAGAGTGCCTAGATTTGATTCCTGGCGGCAGCTGCCCACCAGTGCAGACCCTGGGAGGCAGTGGTGATGGTTCAAGTAAGTGGGAGACCAGAAATCACAGCTCCTGTCTCCAGCATCTATCTAGCCCCAGCCATTGCAAGCATTTGGGGAGTAAACCAATGGCTGGGAGCTCTCTTTCTGTCTCTCTGCTTCTCAAATAAGAAAAAAATGAAATAAAATGTGAAATAAGGGGTGAGTATTTGGTACAAAGGTTAAGACACCAGAAGGGATGCTCACATCCCTTACTGGATTACCTGAGTTTAAGTCCCAGCTCTGCTACAAATCCCAGCTTTCTGCTACTGCTCACACTGGGAGGCAGCAGGTGACAGCTCATGGTTTTGAGTCTCTGCCACCCATGCAGGAGACCTCAATCAAGTTCTGGTCTCTTGGCTTCAGCCTGACCCAGCCCTTGTTGTTATGCATATTTGGGGAGTGGACAAGTAGATGGAAGATTTCTGTTTGTCTGACTTTCACTCTCTCTGTTTCTTTGCCTTTTGAATAAATGAACATAAATTTTAAAAAAATGAGAAATAAATAAGAATGCTAACAATATTTTCAACAACTGAATTGACATTCTAACCTTGTAAACAAAATGGTTCAAAACCCATGTAATTTTCCATTTACTCAAATAAAGAGAAGATCTAGCAAGCACTTAAAAATGTGGAATTAGCTGTAAAAGAAAAAAAGCTTCGTAGATCTTTTCCACCTCCAATGCTCATTCTGAATAATGACCACAACAACATAAAGTAAAGAATTCCACTTAAGAGGATTCATGAATTAGAAGGTTCTCAGACTTAGGAAACATTTTTCTCTCTCCTATCTCATTAAATAATAAAACGTGTCACACTGAGTTTACAAAATTAAGATAATATTTGAGGTTTAAAAGTTTCGTCTTATTACTAATTTGACTGCTTAAAAAAGACTGAGGGAGAAAAGTAGCTCATCTACTTCTAAAATCGATCATTTTGAAGAACAAATATATTCAAGGAGAGGAAGGATTTCATTTCTGATTTTATAGATATGCAACAACTAATCTCAAATCTATCGTTCCCATTTCCTTATCTAATACGTAGGATAAAAAAGAAACAATTTATCCATTATATTTTAGTTACTAAAAGCAATCCTCTTTTATAAGCCTTTTGAACATCTTCCTCCAACATTTATTTTATATTTGGTGACTCAATTTGCTCTAGGATTAAATTATAATCAAAGTTTTTATTAATTCACTAAAAGGAAAAACATTCCTTATTTGGAATTCATTCACCATCATTCATTTATCATAATTCACATTTTAAGCAGTTACTGAGGATTAAATATGCCTGGAACCATGGAAAAAAAATAAAGTTATTACCAAGAAGGCAACATAACTACCTCCAACCAAAAACACTTACCACAATCAGTTATATCGCTAAAACGACATCACAATTCCAAAACAGAGTTTCAATTTGGGCTTCAGCATTTAAATTTTACTGAATAACATACTGTAATATGTATTTCCATTAGAACTTCTAAGGTACTTTTTAACTTATAAAGTAGATGACAAAAGGAAATATACTATAAACTACCTTTCTTTTTAAGACTTTGATAATTTTCACATTTCTAGGAGAAACAATTTAGTCTAATCATTTTAGAGAATGTGAACTGACAAATTCAAACTTCTTAGAATTGTCCCCAATATCCTAAAATAATTATATACAGAAACAGGAGACATATTTTCTGAGAGCTAAAAATTAAGTATTTATTAAAAATATTTATCAACTGTGTTCTTTATTTTAACTCACATATATGTATCTTTTGGGTTGCTAAGTGATCCTGCTGTCCTACTGACTTACCTAGAAAGGATTTTACCATTACTCAGCAAGTATTTAAACCTAACTGAGCACAGTATGAATGTAGTAACATACAACAGAGGGGAAAAACTGAGGCAAAGAAATGCTTAATTACTTGCCACAGACCTGAAAAAAAACTTACTAAGAAAAAAAAAAAAAAGTTGGGACTCATTAATTACATTTTATTGGTTAAATGCATGCAAGTTCCCAAAGACATTTTAAAAACATGTAAATTAACATATACTTAGAATAACTGAAAAAGCAAGGGAAATAAAAAAGGAATTTCCATGCAGCCTGAATTACATAGAGAAGTGTGGTTTCAAAATCAGATCTGCCAAAGAGCAGGTTCTAATGCATTGTGTACCTCAGTTCAAAGAAACAGGAAAAATAATTACAGTATGTTCAGCAAAAGATTACTAAGTATGACCCAAAATGCTTAACTAATAATGATACACAACTGGTATAATGTATCTCTGACCAAGCACTTAAATATATCTTAAAAAAAAAAAGCTTCATTTAAAGTATCTTAAAGTAAAAGTTTAAAAAAATTCACATTTGTACATAATACTGAGAATGCAATGTAATCATAAACATGTGGACATGTGGATGGGGGATTTTCAAACAATAATGGTGTTAATTATCAAATAAATGAGATGTTAGGAAAGAACAAATATTAACCTAAAAGGCTATTTTTATTAAACACATGAAATTCTACATAAAATAAACTGCTTATTTAATCCAAGAGCAACAGTGCTTAAACTAACTGTATATATTTTTCTTAAAAAAGAGACATCATTATAACCATAAAACATTTTCTGGAATTATTTTTCCAGCTTAACATGTCCTCAAAAATGTCAATAAAATTATTTAATTCCTTTTTCATTACCTCTTTAAACATTTTCAGAAAAATCTGTGATATTATGTTCTTAAGGCAAAACCAAGGGAAGGGACTTTGTATATTCATAATTTCTGGGAGAATATAAAATCTTTATATTCTGGAAGACACTGGCATATGGTTAATCATGTAATTAAGAGTGAAAATTTTATAAAGAAACTAATGTAATCAATAAGAAAGGCTACTATTCAGAAATCTTATACAGATTAGAAGATGGTACCTATTTTTTAAGACAATTAAAATATAATGTATTGCAAATACACTACTATAAGGTGATTTTTGAGGTATAAATTATTCATTTCCTAGGTTATTTCAAATAAATGGGGGGAAAAAATCATGGTAGGAATATGTAGATTTTATAGCAAAAAGACCTGAATCAATCTAGTATCTCAAAATAAAAATTAAAACAGGCACAAATAATTTAAAAGAACATCACCAGGTCTTAGGCTTTTAACAATAATTGCAAATTAATTGTGTTCCTCAACTCCATTCCCAAACCCGAAGGAATTTCTCTAAATAGAATTTTTGTTCATTATGCAAGATAGTTTTTTTCTTTTGTTTATTTTTGTTGGTCTTTGTACTTATGCTAGTATTTGGTGTTTTATTTTGATATCAAAAAATGACACCATAAACAGAATTGTTTTTGTGTGATTCTTGAAGCTGGTATTTCCTTACCCTGTTTAAATAAATTTAATTCAAGATAGGACCTACAACATTCTACATAAATTACCTCAAAAAAACACTGGCTAAATAATACAGACTTTATTGACTTTGTTGAAGCACTTTATCTTGATTAGAATTTTTATTTTCTCCTAACTTCCTCAAAGATAGTATTTAAAAACTCATAAAATTTAAAACTGCACACCTTTATCTGATGAATTAAGATAAACAGAATTCTTATTATTAATAGCAAAATAAACATCATAATTTTGGAAGTAAATATTTAAAATGTTATAGCATACTAGTATATTTATTTTATCAACATTAAGTTTATTACTCTTGAAATGTTTCATTTCTGTGTGTCTTCAGTTAATTTAATAGAGCTTTATCAAATGACAACATCCGAAAGAAACAGAAAGCACTCCCCTCCCACACTCCATTGCGCAACTGTCCTTTGAAAAACTGATGTATCTTTTAAATAAGCTGTTTCTGTTCACCCACTCATTCCCCAATCTCATCCAGTGCTCCAGGCAATTTCCTCATTCCAGCAAAAGAAGCAAATGACAAAATTAACAGTCTCTGGACCCTCAGGGATAACCACTGTGTAGAATCAGATGAGATTCCAGATAAGAAGTATGTTTGATTTATTTTAAAGTACCAAAATAAACCAAAGAAAGAAAAAATAAAACAAAAACCAAACTCTACCTAGGCCATCTTTTCACCTTTCTTTATTTCATAAGAGAGAAGCATTTAACACATTTGTTCTGATAAGCAATAAAGAAGTGGTACTGAAGCTTTTGCAATATCAGTCCCATCATTGTTAATAAACTTCAACTTTTTTATAGTATGCCTACAGAGATGAGTAACTATTGTTTTATGAGATTAATATAATCTCATAATAATCCAAGTACAAAGTGTTTAGAGGAAATTATTATTGTGGCCTCTATATATAGAGCAATACTGTCAACTTCTTTTGTTAGAGAAAATTATCTTATGTTCAAAACCAGATTATTAACCTTATTTACATCTATATCTATAACATAATTATGTGTGGCAGGTTAATAAGTGGATGAAATCTATCTCTGAAGGACTACTCCTATTTATTAAACAAGATTTTAAGAACAGCTTCTACACTATATATTTTTTTTTTCATTTTATCTATGATGAGAAAATGATGAACATGGAACTTTAATCCCCCTAAAGTCAAGTCTCAGAAACCAACTTACCTGACAAGATTTTCATTGTCCCCAGTTCCCTTGCAAGTCGCACATTCAGTTCTTAAATCTTCAGCCTTGGGCTTCTTTTGTAATACAGATTGTCTTTGTCTTCTTTCTCTGGGAACTCTTTCCTGCCACACAAGTGAGGAAAAAATCAAAACAAAAGTAAATCAGGATATAAGGGAAGCAAATAATTTTAAGCAAGACAGTTTCTCAAACTTTAGACTGTGTCAAGAGTGCTTAACTTATTCCAACCTCATGTTTTTCCTCCTCAGGAATGAAGCTTCGTTTTCGTCCTCTGGTTCTCTAAAAGAAAAACCACAAAAATATCTAGTGTTAAACTAATGATAAAAATGAATTTCCTCTGTGAAATTTTACTGCTTAATACAATTAAAAAATTAATATTCCTAATGCTGTACTGCTCCATGCAATTGTTACAATCTATGTAATAAAACTTAGTAAATAAAATCAAATTAGACTTACATGAAAGAACTTAACTCATAAAAGAATAAATATCTGATAGTAAAAATAAATTCTCCAAAATTATTTTGAAAGTCTTTCACAATACTTCATGTTTATCACATAATCATGACATAGAGCATTTAAATTCTCATGACATCACATATGACTTAACAGTTGAAATGTCAAAATTATAGCAATCCGCATCTGTTTGTTGTCCATGTGTGTGCACATACATACATGTTTGTGTAATGTAAAGGGATAATTTTTAGGCACCCATAAAAAGGTGGAGGAAAAAAAGTTATCACCTAGTTTAAAAAGAAAACGATTAAAACATGATATAAGTTTCAGGGAAGAGTTAGGGTGAAAACAGCAAAAGAAACTACACAAATTAGAGAGACACTGTGAACCTATGTGGAGGGTGTGGATGCACACAATTCAGGACCCCAGCAGCAGAGAGCCTCATAATCAGCTTTGAAGTGAGGTGAGAACAGACTGCAGCAGCCCAAGCCACTGGCTATAAAGCTGCAGGAAGAGCCTGGCTAGAGTTCGGCTTGGACCCCTGTGGGGGACAGTGTACTTGCCAACCGAAAGAGAAAAATAAAGGGGACATGTTTATCTCTCCCTGACCACCTAGCACCAGCATCCTGTAACTAGCAGAGAGAGGGTAGGTACCATTTTGGACATACGCAACAGCTGTACCAGCTCGTGTCAGCATGACCAGCAACCAGCCAAGAGGAGAAGCTTGAGTCTGGCTGGGAGAATTCCGAGGGGACTGGGCACTCGTGACTGTGGGTGGCTTGTGTGCCGAGTTGGTGAAAATATTGCAGCTGCATGGGAGAGTGCAGGAGGTAGCCAGGACTTTGGGCAGTCACTGTGGGCAGTTCCACATGCTCGGGGCTCCCTGATTCCCTGGAGAGGGTCACTGCTGCAGGATCCATGCTCAAAACAGGAGATTTACCACAAGCAACTTGGGTGTCACCATAGACACTCCCCTCACCCTGAAGCACTGAAAGAGCTCCCTGGCCACATCTAGACCACACCTATTGGGATTCACTGCAAGAGCAGACACTCCAATGAACCACAGAGGCATGGTTCAAAGATAAAAGCCATCACAGGGAAAAAAAAAAAATAATGTAACACCAAAAATGCATAAAAACAAATGCAACAATTCAAGAAACAAGAATACAGAAGACAACATGACAACCCAAAAATAACACAACACTTCAATAATTGAATATGAAGACATTGGCCGGCGCCGTGGCTCACTAGTCTAATCCTCTGCCTTGCGGCGCTGGCACACTGGATTCTAGTCCCAGTCGGGGCACCAGATTCTGTCCCGGTTGCCCCTCTTCCAGGCCAGCTGTCTGCTGTGACCCGGTAAGGCAGTGGAGGATGGCCCAAGTTCTTGGGCCCTGCACCCATGGGAGACCAGGATAAGTACCTGGCTCCTGCCATCGGATCAGCGCGGTGCGCCAGCCGCAGCGCGCCGGCCGCGGCGGCCATTGGAGGGTGAACCAACGGCAAAGGAAGACCTTTCTCTCTGTCTCTCTCTCTCACTGTCCACTCTGCCTGTCAAAAAAAATAAAAATAAAAAAAAATAAAAATAGAATATGAAGACATTTACAAAATGTCAGAAATAGAATTCAAAAAATTGATTGTAGGATTACTTAGAAGTAATCAGCAGCAAATTCTTAAACTGAAGAAATCCATACATGACATGAATGAATTTTTTTACCAGAAAACCAACATTTTAAAGAGAAATCAAAATGAGATATTGGAAATGAAGAACTCAATAGAACACATAAACTATATGATGGAAAGCCTTAAGAACAGACGCAGTGAGGCAGAAGAAAGAATATTCAAGTTAGAAGAAAAATCTCTGGAAATTTTACAGGCAGACCAAAAAAAGGAAGAGAAATAAGAAAACTAAAAAACAGTGTCAGAGATTTCTGGAATACTATCAAACAACCCAACATACAGGTCTTAGGAGTACCTGAAGGTGTGGAAAGAAAGAATGGATTAGAAGGGCTTTTTAGTGAAATAATTACAAAAAAACTTCCCTACTTTGGAGAAAGAAAGGGACATCCAAGTACAGGAAACACATAGAACTCCTAATTGACATGACCACAAAGATCTTCACAACCACACATTGTAGTCAAATGCTGCACAGTAAAACATAAAGAAAAGATTCTAAGATGTGTACATGAGAAATGCCAGATATCTTTCAGTGGATCTCCAATTACACTCACAGTTGACTTCTCATCAGAAACCCTACAGGCTAGGAAAGAATGGCAAGATATTCCAAGTCTTTTTTTTTTTTTTTTTTTTTTTTTTTTTTTTGACAGGCAGAGTGGACAGTGAGAGAGAGAGACAGAGAGAAAGGTCTTCCTTTGCCGCTGGTTCACCCTCCAATGGCCGCCGCGGCCGGCGCGCTGCGGCCAGCGCACCGCGCTGATCCGATGGCAGGAGCCAGGAGCCAGGTGCTTTTTCCTGGTCTCTCATGGGGTGCAGGGTCAAGCACCTGGGCCATCCTCCACTGCACTCTCTGGCACAGCAGAGGGCTGGCCTGGAAGAGGGGCAACCGGGACAGAATCCGGCGCCCCGACCGGGACTAGAACCCAGTGTGCCGGCGCTGCTAGGCGGAGGATTAGCCTAGTGAGCCGCGGCGCCGGCATGATATTCCAAGTCTTAACAGGAAAAAAAAAAAAAAAAACTGTCAAACCAGAATATTGTACCTTGCAAATCTCTCATTTATAAATGAAGGTGAAATAAAAACCTCCCACAACAAACAGAAATTGAAAGAATCTGTCACCACTTGTCCAGCTTTACAAAAGATGCTTAAGGATGTGCTACACATAGAAACAGAAACATAGCCACCACTATGAAAGAAAGTGAAGGCAGAAAATCTCTAAGTAAAAGTACAAAGGAAATCCAGTGTAAAAAATAGGAATATTTATGGAAAAATGGCAGGGCAAAGGCAATACTTATCAATAGTTACCTTGAATGTAAATGGCCTCCACTCTCCAGTTAAAAGATACAAACTGGCAGAATGGATTAAAAAACAAAACCTAGTTATTTGCTTCATATTAGAAACACATCTCACCAACAAAGACACACACAGACTGAAAGTGAAAGAATAGAAAACATATTCCATGCTAACAGAAACCAAAAAAGAGCTTGTGTAGCCATCCTAACATCAGACAAAATAGACTCTAACACAAAAACTGTTAAAAGAGACAAAGAAGGGCATTATGTAATGATAAAGAGATCAATTCAACAGGAAGATATGACTATTATAAACACATATGCACCTAATTACAGGTCACGGGGCTATCTCAAAAACATATTAATGGATCTAAAGGGAGACATAGACTCCAATAGATAGTAATGGGGGATTTAAATATTCCATTTTCAGCAATGGACAGATCAACCAGACAGAAAATCAGCGAGGAAACAACAGAGTTAATCGATATTACAGGCCAACTGGACCTAATGGATATCTACAGAACTTTTCATCCTACAGATATAGAATACCAATCTTCTTACCAGGGCATGCAACTTTCTGTAGGATTGACCACATGCTTGGCCATAAAGCAAGCCTCAGCAGATTCAAAAAAATTGAAAACATATCAAGCATCTTTTCTGACCACGATGGAACGAAGCTGGAAATCAACAACTCAGGAATCTCTAGAACATATGCAAAAACATGGAGACGGAACAACATGCTCCTGAATGAACAGTGGGACATTGGAGAATTAAGAGAGAAATCAAAAAATTTCTAAAAACAAATGAATCAACAGTGCAATATATCAAAACGTATGGGATACAGCAAAAGCAATGTTAGGAGGAAAGTTTACAGCAACTGGTGCCTACATCAAGAAATTGGAAAGGCACCAAATAAATGAGCTATCAATGCAAACAAGGTCCTAGAAAACCTCCAGAAAAGCAAACCCAAACTAGTAGGAGAAAAGAAATAGTTAAAATTAGAGTAAAAATAAGCAAAATTTAAAGCAAAAAGACAATACAAAAGATAAGTAAAACAAAGAGCCAGTATTTTGAAAAAATAAACAAAACAGATATACCATTGGCCCAACTAACTAAAAAAAAGGGGGGGGGGAGAAGACCCAAATCAATAAAATTAGAGATGAAAAAGGAAATTTAACAACAGACACGACAAAAATAAAAAGAATCATCAGAAATTACTACAAAGAGCTGTAAGCCAACAAATTGGGATACTTAGAAGAAATGGATAGAATCCTGGACACATACAACTTACATAAATGAGACATGAAGACACAGAAAACCTAAACAGACCAATAACCAAGGCAGAAACTGAATCAGTAATAAAGACCCTCCCACCTAAGAAAAGCCCAGGATCAGATGAATTCTACCAGACATTTAAAGAACTAGTTCCACTTCTTCTCAAGGTATTCGAAACAATTGAAAGGGACAGAATCCTCCCAAACTCTAAGAAGCCAGCATCACCTTAATTCCTAAACCTGAAAAAGATATAACAGAGAAAGAGAACAATAGACCAATTTTCCTGATGAACATAGACACAAAAATCTTTAGCAAAATACTAGGCAATTCAATCCAACAACAGATCTGAAAGATCATTCATCAAGACCAAGTTGGATTTATCCCTGGTATGCAGGGATGTGAGTTCAACATTGTAAATCAATCAATGTGATAAATCACATTAATAAACTGAAGAACAAAAATTCATATGATTATCTCAATAGATGCAGAGGAAGCATTTAGTAAAATACAACACCATTTCATGATAAACATATTAAGCAAATTGGGTATAAAAGGAACATTCCTCAACAAAATCAAGACAATTT